CATACACACACACACACAAACACACACACACACACACGCACACACACGCACACACACACACATGAAAAAATAAATGACAAATCAAGTCTGGATAACTTTATGTACGCCTAGGCTACGTACTTGATCGATGACACACATTAAGTCATGCAAATCTACTACTTCTAATCCAATCCAAGTTATACAGTTGCCACTGTAAACAACATGGCGCATTGCGGAATGTACATTGTTCAGTTCAACGACTCATGGTAGTGAGAGACATTGCATCTGACGGAGTGCGTCTCTGTAGTTTATCGGGGCACCTTGCTGAATAATGATTGCCTCCATAGATAGATCCAAAGTGGGCATTGAATACATCATCTTTTGTAACCAAAGTGGTTAAATATGATTTGATTGCTCAGGGTGCACACTTTTCCTGCTTGACACTTGACGTAGTCAACTCTGATTCAGGCAGGCTCAGTCTCAGTAATTTGATGAAAAGGAAAAAAGGCCTGATTTATTAATTGAAAAAAAAACCCTCCAACAAACAAAACCGGTCATCACTGGGAAAAACAGCTACAACAAAGCGAAGTAGATCTAGATCTAGATCTGTTGGCTTTCGCCGGCAGGTCATTGACTGGTTAAGACTTTTCAGTTCTAGCACATCATCTAGATCTAGATCTAGAAGAATCTAGTTATAGGAAATTTGTAGAAAAACTAAAAGAAAAAAATCAATATAGGCCCTGTACGTAATCTGGACTTTGTTTCTGGAAAAGCAAGAGAGGGAAATCAAACTCATGAAATGGAAGATGATATTTTGATCAGGACTGATGGGGTAAGTGTAATACTTTTGTGTGTGTCATAAATGGCCTTTACTGGTAGGTTACGTGGTGATATGATTGAAACATACAAGTACATCAAAGGCTACTACATCACTGAAAGACCTGCTTTTACAAAGGCAACAACCACACAACTCCATGGCAACCCAAAGAAACTCCAGAAGCTAAAAATTAAGCAGATTGTGTATGAAGGCAAACTTTTTTTGAAAATCGGGT